AGTCATTTGCGAAGGCATCGTAATGTTAATTTTGTCGTTTTTTCTTTTTTGCTTTCATTCCCTGAACTGAGTGAAAGGCTCCAGTGTTTTAAGGATTGCCGAGGTCATCACAGTCTGAATAACAGCGTGTTGATTGTGGCCAAGATAGCGGTTATGTGATTTGGTGAAAACAATAATTACATTCACAGCACTCATAGGTTTAAATGCTTGTGGTTATTTCACTGGGGTGCCAGTGGGCTTGGGAACTAAGGAGTAAAACGCTGCTTTAAAGCTAAGGACACCAATAAGCTCAGATGACCTTCCCTGAGCAAAATGATGTAAACAACAGAGACAACACTCAAAGCACATGAGAGAAAGCCACAAACAAGCCACTGAGAATGTTTCATCAGCACTTGTTTGCATTCAGAATCATCTCCTCATAATGAACAACCTTGACTTTCAAATGCCTCCAACTAGTTCGAGCTCAGGCACACACATTTGCACCGTCTGTCGATCTGGCTGACGAAAGGAAGCAAACTGTCTCTGCTGGTGCTGTCACCTGCCCTTTTTCCCCCTGTCGCCGACTGTGAGGTGCCGGTAAAAGACGACAGTGTTAAAACAGTGAGTGAGCAGCTCCATACGCACCTCACTGTGCCAAAACACCACTGAAGGTGCTGAACAGTCTTCTTCCTCTCCAGACTTTGCCTTTTTCTGCACTCTGCCTTTTGGTTGTTATCTTCGTCAGCCCAGTCAGTCAGTTGTATGAACCTAACAGCCTTTTAACACATAAACGCACTGTTCCATTTTCTTTTCGTCTCTTTAAATCTGTTTTAACATTGTGTGCTGTATTGGAGTATTGGGGGTGGGTGGGTTATTACCCCTTATGCTTATTACGCTGACAGCTGCAGAAAAGCAAGTGCTGCAGTTTCTCTAATTATTTTCACCTTTCAAATCATCAGCATGGCCCCAACTATACCTGTCCACTAGCCATTTATTGCATGAGCGCATGTGTCCTTTAGCTACTTAGTAAAGAGTGAAGTGGAATGACTTTAACAACTCCTCATCTGCAGAGCTGGCCACTTGTGTCAAGAGGTCCTGACTGGAAATATTTCATTAAGCCGGGAGAGGGAAGCTTGCCGAGTTTCTAATTAAAACTGTGTCCTCTGTTAGTCAAAGTGGTCTGCTGACATGAGTGAATGTAAGGCGATAATGACTTATGTATTGTCCTAAAGAGTGCGTATTGGGAATGCAGAGGAAAGTTTTGTGTACTTGAAACACAGACCCAAGCTCTTACAACACTTCTTTTAATGAAACAGCTCTCCCTGTTATAATACCACTTCACGGTGTGTCTTTTCCAGGTGGCTACTGTAGTGAAACTCTCAGTGTCGCTGATGCAACTGAGAGGTAACTCTGCTAAGGGAAAGCCAAGAGAAAGTAAAGGCTGGTATGAGAATGGCCCCAATGGACACACAACCGCGGGGCATCTCTTATTGACACTGCCGCACTTTTGCTAAAATGACTGTAAAGCAGAGACACTGACGACAAAGAGGGGAGGGAAGAGTGTTTGAGAACTGGCTTAGAGGACTTGTGCAAGGACTCTGAGGACAAAACTCGGCTGTTGTACAGAGGATAAGACACACAAAACAAGAAAGTACAGAGAATATATATAGAAAAACAACTCTGCAAATCATTCACACATTATCAGTGGTGGAAAGTAATACAATACATTTACTCAGTCACTTTATTTAAGTACAGTTTTGGGTAATTGTACCGAACTTGAGTAATTAAATTTATGTTACTTTATACTTCCACTCTACTACATTTAAGAGGCATATATTGTGCATTTTACTCCACAACATTTATTAAATTATCTTAGTTGCAGTGTCAGAAAATATAATACAAAATATTATTAGCATTCAAATTATCATTTAATAGTTTAAGCTATCCTATACATTAATAGGTATAATCCAGTGACATAATATCAGCAGTATAATTCTGGTATAAGCCATTCTGCACAATGAGTACTCTTACATTTGGTACTTAAACTATATTTTGATGCCATGTACTTTTACTTGAGTAGACATTTCAATGCTGGACCATTCAATTCAATACAATTTTGTTCATAAAGCCCAATGTCACAAATCACAATTCACCTCAGGGGGCTTTACAGCATACAACACCCCTCTGTCCTTGGAGCCTCACAGTGGATAAGGAAAAACTACCCTCAGAAAAAAACCCTTTACGGGGAAGAAAATGGTAGAAACCTCAGGGGCAGATGTGCAATAGATGCTGTGTGTATAGAGCGGATCAAAATAATAATGTACAGTGATCAATATGACAAAATAAAACATTAAAAGAGGGAGAGACACAGAGAGATAAGCTACATTAACATTAATTTTAGTAATAATATTCTAGTAATAATAGTATTTTGGTAGTATATATGTTTTAAGTGTATGTTAATATATGATAGTATATGTATGTGACAAAATTAATAATCATTGTGTATAATAACAGTAGAAGTATGACTAATAATAACAGCAGCAGTAGGAGGCATCAGGCAGGACCACGGCAACGGTGCAACCATGACCCACGATTCAAGCCGTGATTCGAGGGAACCTGCGAGACAGTGGGGCACAAAGGCTCCGGAGAGGAAGCTGAGTTAGTGACATGAAGTAATAGGACATGAATCTAATCTAAGAGCGTGAGAGAGAGAGAGAAAGTGAGAATGGGCTCAGTGTATCATGGGAGGTCCCGCGGCAGACTAGGCCTATATCAGCCTAACTAGGGGCTGGTCCACAGCAAGCCTGAGCCGGCTTGTATTTCTACACTGTCCTATTGTTACTTGAAGGTTTAAGTGCTTCTTCCACTGCTGCAGTACCTACACAAGCAGTAATGACCATAAACTGCACCAGTAAATGTATCTTTTTTTTCCCATTTGCAGATTTTACCATAGAGCTGGAACAGTTGTTACAATAACTACAGTGACATGTGCCAATATGGCTGTTCAGTACAACATATCTGTATCTGTTGTGTCAAGGGAAATCCCCTCCTATATGATTATGCTGGCATTCATTGCATTAGTTGAATTGGTGGTCAAAGAAGGAGGAACTATTGTATTTTCAAACACAACAAATGTGCATGTCACAGATAATAGTATAAAGAAAATGTGATTAAAGATACGTGATTAATAAAGATACCCAGCTGCGATGTAGCTCACTACTTGGTGTGCATGCTCTGAAGGTGATAAGTCCAGCTTAGTCTAACCAACTTCCTGGAGTTTATCACTGTCATTACTGCAGTCCTGCTGATTTACAGTACAGGGTGAATTCAATTACCCATAGTTCTCTGTCAAGCTGCCCGAGTGAGAAATGGCCTTCATTTCACCTGTACAGTGTTGGCAGCCATCTTAACTGGTTCAGATGAGCAGTCCATAGACAAAGGGATGAGGCTTCCAAAAGAATTAATTAACAGATGCGCACATACTGTACAGGGGCCGGCTTTTGGGGAGGTTTTCCAGTCATGGTATACAGCAATTTGCCCTGTGCTGAATTAAGATTTTGTTTCATGAGAATAAAATAATCATCATGTTGGTAAGATGAAAAAAAATCTGGTAATTACAAAGAGAGTTATTATCTTAGTGATACTATTAAATCAATCAACTCCAACACTGCATTTGAAGCCTTTAGTATGAAACATATATTCACATGAGGTATAATAAATCTCTTTTATCACATGCCACTGATAAGACTCCTGACATGTATGAATAATAACCGAGCATATTACACTATTTCTGCTTGATTTTCTGTTTGTAGTTTGACTTCAGTGGGTGGGCGGGGTGTCTCAGCCCACCTTGGTTCCTCCCCTGCGCAGCTGTTTTGTTTTGTATCTCTGTTTTTCTTATAATCCTTGGTTCCTGCAACTAACTAAACTGCACTACACACCTCACTGCCGCGTTGATTGGTGCTCAGATTTACTTCCACAATATGCATTTATCATTCGCCGGGCCCCAGTGAAATTAAATGCCTCTCAGATTCATGTTGGGATCCTGCCAGGGTAAATATTGTTGTCTGCTGTTAGTGATTACACACAATTGTTCCTAAGCTATTAAATTTGCAAAACGGCTCTCCGATAATGGAAACAAAAGCAAAAGCCACAGGAAGTCCAGCATTTCTCTAAACCTACGTCTAATAGCAAGCAGGTGTGTGGTTAAAGTTTAATCTCGCCACTTGTCCTGACTTTCTTTCATGTGTCCATAGTAAGTCATGCGCTGATCAAATTTGCAGAGTGAGTCCTCCACCTCTGTATTGTAATGCCACTTCTCATGCTGCTGAACAACCCTTCTTCTGCCCTTGGTGCTGAGTGCTAGCCACGACAGCACATTCCCCATTGACTTTGACTCCAGAGGAGCAGCAAAGGAGCGATTCAAAGAAGTCCTCAGCGGGAGGGTCAGGCAGGACAGAATACAGATCAGGGGAGCTCTTCTTCTGCTCATATTTGTCCTTGGAGAAGCGTGAAAGAGAATGGATAAAACTAGTCGGGTCTACAACTTTTGTCTGCGACATTAAGAGACTGGATTCTGGAGGACAGACATTAAATCAATCATTTGTGTCTGTGCTGTCCATTTTTGTGTGTTTTCATGAGTCTTATGACCCTGCAACCATTTAGCAGGTACTGTCTTGTTATACAGCATCTGTGTCTGCGTTCAGCATTGCAAAGTTGTATAGAAACGTTAATGTCCTTCAGGCATGTCCTGATATGAAAATTCCATAGTACACTTATCTCGGCCAAAGTTATCTGTGTATACAGCATTATCTTGGTAATTACTAAAGTAAGACAAAATGATTGTGCTTACACAAACATGGCTGTGGAGGAGTGGAGTGTGTGCAAACTTTGTTCCAGCATGTTCATATATTTTCTCAGTCTGATTATCTATCTGTTATCAGACCACCACTAATTAAAGAAAACCTTGAGAAGTGATGCTACGTTGTGTTATAAAACCTCTTCTCCTCTCTCTTCTTCAGGTAACTACCAGCTCTCTCCGACTGTGAACATGCCACAGGACGACATAGTGATGATCGAAGACGATAGGCCGCCCCTGCTTCCTGCACACCTCTCCGACCAATCGTCCTCCAGTTCCCACGATGACATGGGCTTTGTGGGAGAGAACCCAGTGCCCTGGATTCATGAGCTGCCCGGTCAGAATGAATGGTGAGCAGTGGGTTGAGTTGATTGAATTATTTATAGCTTGATGGACTTCAGACAGGTCCTGTGTGGAAGAAGGCTGGATGTTTTCTGTATTTGCATTTTCAGTATGCAGGAGGTTAGGTTAGTGTAGGTTTGTAGGCGAGGGTACTTGTGGGTCATTGCATTTCTGGACTGCGGCAGCAGCGTGGTTGGGAGCAGTGTTTCCCAGACTGATCCAGGAAACCAGAAAATCATGTCTCTTGATCACAAGAATATATGAAAGCATTTTCAGTTATTGCAAGTAATCGACCTCCGTCTCTTCCAGGTGAAAGCATTCAGTCTTGTGTGTGGTTGTGTGCATGTTTGTATCTGTCTGTCAGCTAATCTCTCAAACTACTGGACCAATCAGCCTAATATTTTTTGTATGCATTCTCAAGGACTTCTCGTCATTGACTGTTTACACCTCACTCCTTAACCAGCCACTAGGGTCCTCAAATTGTCAACAGAATCACATAGTGAAAGGCATTTCCGGCAGTCAGTTAAGACTAAAACACAAGCCTTGCCGGGTCTGTTGCAGGCCACATTTTTGCTTTTTTTGTTGCTCAAAAACTGATATCCACAGAAAAGTTCGATTTCATTTTGAACTGGAGCATCTGCAGATGAATTTCATACCCGATATGTAATGATCCACTAAAGCTAGGCACCACTAGAGATGAATAAATCCCTGTTTTTTGTAATCTTCATCACATCTTGACTGTAAGGAAGCCCAGAGGGACAATTGAGTGAGATTCAACTCTTGTATATTTAGGAGTGGAGAGGAACATTGTATTTGAGGTTGTCTACTCTGGTTACACCTTGATAGTTTAACCTGCACATTATCTTCCCCTCAACCCCCTACTGTCAAGCATACACCCTGGACACACAGCCTGCCCTGCACTTCCTGTTCCCCTCCCAAATGCCCCCAGACACACCTCGCGAAAAGCTGCACTCTACTGAGTGAACTTTCCTTGTTACATAGTGTGATGACTTTCCTCAGTAGCACTATCTGCCTTAACAAACCAGGAAATGACATTTTCATATCATATACTAAAAAGTTGTTACAGGAAAGTAATGGAATTTTGCATCAGGGCTACAGTCAGACTCCCAAGATGTTGGTAACTTTCAGGGAAGTAGTAGTTGTGTAAGGTGTGAGTGTATGTGAGCTGTACATGGCAAAGCACATGTGTGGCTCTGTTTGTGTGTTAAATAATGGATGACCCAGCAGCAGTCAGACTGTGAGTTAGAAACTCAGAGGGTCTCACACAGTACCTCCACCTCTCTAACCCCAACCTCCCTTGGGATTTCAGCGCCACACTCTACAGACTGCAGCACCCTCATGATACAATATGAAGCTCATCTGGGCTCATCAACCTTTGTCAGAGAACTAAATCTCTTTAGGGACACAACACAGATTTGTAGAGATACCTTTATAGACCAAGAAAAAAAGAATAAGACTTTAGCACTACAGCACTGCTCTGTGCCAGTCTTTCCCTTTTATTGTTGTCACTTAATGGCTGCCTTTTAGCACAGGAAGTTATAGCTGTTCATCCTTAAAGGTATAATCACTCACTCTACAATTACTCATTCCTGTATGGTTGCAGTGTACGGGCACAGGAAGTGCAAAGACAAGACATCCAATCATGTCCTCATTCTCGTCTGAATGATAAAGTCAGGAACTGCTTTTTCACTTAACGTAGGTTGTGATTAACTCGTACTTTTTTGCTATTTATAGTGAGTCATTTTTGTCTTGTAACGATTGTTATTCTGTTTTATGATTGGCTGGATGTAACACGGTGCAACAGAACCACAGACTTGATTTTTTCCCCATCTTTTCAAGGTGAAATGCTGGCTGCCACGAATAGAGATGCTCGGTTTATTTATTTATTTATTTAGTATTTTTATTTCTTCTTCCCTGGAGACTCTCCACTCTCTCCTCCCCTCACTCTCTCATTTATTATGAATGAGTAGATTTGCTCAGCATGCCTGTTGTTCATGTGATGTCAGAGGTTTGTCATAGTGGATTAGGTCCACAGCATATGGCTGAACTGCACTCAAACTTCCTCGCACACCATTTCTACACACTCTGCGCTTACAAACACTTGCACACATGCACGTGCAGGACGCGTGCACACCAGGCAGAAGTGTGCTATATACCACTGCCTTGGGTTATTGTGAATAATTCATGTCCTCAAAGACACACACACACACACACACACACACACACCCCTTCACATTTTCTATTTCACTCAAATGCTAACAGCTGCTTAAATGCACCAAGTGTGTATCCTCTTTCTGACTGACTTTTACTGTTTTTCATTTTCCTTTTCAAGTGCCCCCAACATTCTTCTACACACACACACATACACACACACACACACACACACACACACACACACACACACAGCGTTAACAGGCACACTGAGCCAGCAGGGGATGTGGGTCAGCCAGACTCCAGTGTATTGGAACTGTTACTTTTTAATTAAGCTCTTGCAACAGTGCAGCCAGGGCCCGGTACGTATTGAATATGTATTGTGCAGAGCCGTGAAAGTCTCACCTCTGGCCTCCAGTATTATGCAGCCTCCCTTCCTCATGGGAGGCGCTTTGCCAAGGCCACAGCTATACACCTACAGTGCATACACAAAGCACAAAAGTAGCTGGTTGGCTTGTAAAATCATTGTAATTCAGGCGCTTTCTCTTCTTGTCCTTTTTTCACCCAGTAGAATTGAACAAACTAAGATTCTCTCTCTCCCGACTCTTTTTATTTCCCCTACATTAATTTATTTCTTCAGTGCCAGCGCTGTATGTGACTTTGTTCACAAACAGAATAACAAGGCCAGTTGGCTTGTGAAGTTAATTTATTGCTTTACTCTGTTAATGTAGGGTAATCAGAAGGTAATTTCAGCATCTGTTGGTGGTTATTAGAAGGTAAATAACAGCTAATGTAAACAAAACTCAATTAAAGACCCTATTCTTTGATAATATACTCACTTTTCTTTCAGAATTTTTATAAATATACATTCATATCTCACCCTCTGTGATATTTTCCCTCAGTTTCAGTCCTCTCCTCAGCAGGTTGCTAGTGAATGATAGCCCACGTGTTGGTGTGCTAATGTGCAGGCCCCCAAGATAAATGGTTGTTTTGGAGGCAGAAATCCCATCTCACACAAGACACATAAATTGACCTACTTTTTTTTTTTCTTGACATCCCTAGCCAATATCTAATGGGTGTGTGTTCTATGTATGTGCGCATACCTGGTTCTTGTTAGTGTGAAGACATACGCCTGTTTTGCCTTCTCTTGCAGGTACTCAGAGCTATCCTGTTGCTATGAAGCGTTGCTGTGCTACATCAGCTTTACGGGCCTCAAATGATCATAAAACGGGCTATAAATATTACAGCCCTGTGCTTTTAGATCTCTGTTAAAATGGTAATGTACAAATATCCAAGTTTTATTTGTTGCTGCTGTATTATAGACTGTTTTATTACTATTAATATTAATACTGCTACTCCTTTTTATGAGCTAGGTGGTGGTAGTGTTGAGCTTAGTGAAAGTGGCTTGTGAATAGAAGGCTGCTGGTTCAAATAGACCAGGTGGTACAGTAAAACTTATTTAAATCCACTGCGTTGATATGGCTACTTGTCAACAAGATGTAGAAGACTGTGGTTGCAGTGTGTAAGTCCAGGATGTGTCAGGGGTTAAAGGGTGTGAGTGTGATTCAGGGAGGTAATGGAAAACAGCATGTGTCTTCTGTCAGGTTTCACTGGATAAATAAAGGTTGTAAGTTATTACTTTGCATATCTGCACTAAGTTGATTTGAGCACCAGGTCCTGACCCATCACATTAATTCCCTTTGCGGTGTCTGCCTCCTCCTTCATTAGTTTAAATCCTAAGCCAAACAGGAAGGAGGACGACCAAATGATTTACAGTAAAATAGATAACAGCTGAATGATCTGGATAAGCAAAAAGAAAGGTTTTTCCTCTCAGGGCAGGAATGTGGAACAGTGTCAGAAAGACAATTTAGTGTGAAATCATGGCAGCTCCTAATACAAGCAGATCCGTCTGAGATGCTGAAGGAATGTTTTAGGTTTCCACCTGGTTCTCATCCCAGAAGTTGATGAAGTGCAGTTGCAGGGTGTAGGCTATCTGTTCCCTCTAACTGCTGTCTCAGCCTATATCTTTTCCTTTTTGCATAGTTAGTGTGCAAAAAAGAAAGTTGTCTTTTTGCAATCAGTTAAAGATTACATTATCTATCTATCCATCCAAGGAGCAGCAGCTCCAAGCAAAGCACCCCAGATGTCCCTCCAGCTCCTCCTGGGGCACCCCAAGGTGTTCCCAGGCCAGATGAGATATGTAATCCCTTCAGTGTTTTCTGGGCCCAGGAGGATCCTGATCAGATGCCCGAGCCACGTCAACTGACCACTTTAGATGCAAAGGAGCAGCGGCTCTACTCCGAGCTCCCTCCAGATGTCTGAGCTCCTCACCCTATCTCTAAGGCTGAGCCTAGCCACCCTACAGAGGAAACTCACTCGGCCGCTTGTAGCCGAGATCTCATTCTTTCAGTCACTACCCAGAGCTCATGACCATAGGTGAGGGTTGGGACGTAGATGGACCAGTAAATTGAAAAAGCTTCGCCTTCTGGCTCAGCTCCCTCTTTACCATCACTGCCAAAGTCGCACCAAACTGCTGATCCATCTCACGCTCCATTCTACCCTCGTTCGGGAACAAGACCCCGAGATACTTCAACTCCCTCACTTGAGGCAGTAACTCTCTCCCAACTCAGATTTGGAGGTGCTGACTCTGATCCCGACCGCTTCACACTCGGCTGCAAACTGCCCCAGTGCACGCTGGAGGTCATGGTGTGATGAAGCCAACAGGACTACATCATCTGCGAAAAGAAGAGATGTGATTCTGAAGTCCCCAAACCGGACCCCTTCCTCCCCCTGGCTGCGCCTGGAGATCTTGTCCATGAATATCACAAACAGGATC